GGTAACACTTAGCTATAAGGTTTCATATACGTGTGTATATATATATATATATATATATATATATACATAAATACAAAATAATTATACACAGTTCACCCATATATATATATATATATATATGTATATATATATATGAAGAGTTCAGATGCAAAAGCCTCTAAAGCCATTTGAAATTTTCTTCTTTAATGATGATTTTTATCAAACTTGTATATTTAAGTTCAGTAATTTCACTTAAATGGCAATTAATAGGTAATTGTCATTGCCATTTAAGTGAAATCACTGAACTTAAATATACAAGTTTGATAAAAATCATCATTAAATAAGAAAATTTCAAATGGCATTTAGAAGCTTTTGCATCTGAACTCTTCATATATATATCAGGGTTTCTATAGTTTTCCAGTACGTCTAAATGTATTTGCCATGGAATCTGTAGTAGTAATAATCCTTGTTTGTAAAATGTATTATAATTATAGCTATAATTCAGCATGATGAAGGGTATACCCACTATAGTGGTTGTTTTAACTAATACTGGAGATTGGAAATACATGTTCTGGGACAGGAGAGTGCCTGTGATTCACAGCGAGAGATGAGGAAATCAGACTTCCATAAGTCTCCGAAATATCTCCATCTGAAATAACACCGAGACATTGTCTCTGCTTCACTATGTGACCGGCCTGGATGACTAATATGTTCCGGGGTTATTGCGTGCAACGCACACTTATCCATCTCCAGCAGCAGAAACTGTGCAGAATAGACTGTCCCAGACTATTGTTTCGTACTGTACTGTTTGATGTCGGAGTGGCTTCCTGGACAATTCCTGTATGAGCGATTTGTTTGCATCCACTTGGCTGCTAAATAACTTCTCACATCAAAGAGGGCCGCTGTGTCCCGCTCACACAATGGAATCATGACGGGCGATGAATGACTGGACCGTGGACAAGGGTAATGCTTTCCGCCCGTCTGATGAATATCAGTGTGTACAGATTTATGCCCTCAAAACTATAAACAAACACTGAACATCAAGGGGGGGAGAAATGCTTATATCAAAACTAGGGCTGTCAAACGATTAATCGCATCCACAATAAAGTTTATAAAATATATATATGTGGGTGAACTGTGTATAATTATATTGTGTGTGTATATATATATATATATATATATATATATATATATATATATACATATATACACACACACATGCATGTATATTTAAGGAAAAAAATATTATTTATTTATAAAATATTTATATTTATATATAATATAAATTATATATTAATCTATATACAGTATATACATGAAAATGTTTCTTAAATATATACAAGCATTTGTGTGTTATATATATATATATATATATAAAATAGTTATACACAGTGCACCAGAGTGCATAATATATATATTAAAAACAATATATATTATTATTGAGAGTAATGATTTTTGGAAAGAATTTAGGTCAACATAATGAAAGAAAGAGTCTGCAGACAAAGCCAAAATAATTATATTATTATTATTATTATTATTTATGTTACTAAATTAACTTTGTTTTAAGTATTAATATAAGGTATGAATTTCTAAAAAATGTTTAAAAAAAAACTAATAAAAACAAATTTTATTCTTTATATTAAATGTATGTAAATTATTGTTGTTGCTATTGCTCTTATTAGTGTGATAGGTGAATTGTGGCCAAATATTTTTTCATCGTTTTAATGGATAATAATAGTTTCATGGAATTTCATATTGACTCATTTGGTCAATGCATATATTTACCTTTTAATTTGAACTATTTTGCATGACTATATTACATTGCATGCTAAGCAAGTTATATATATATATATATATATATATACAGTATATATATATATATATATATATATTAGCTAATAATAATGATGATGATGATGATGGTTATTATTATATTTATTGTTGTTGTTGTTGTCGGTCATCATCCTCAATATCTTTAATGGACTTGTCTTTAATTGTCTTTAACTGTCAGACATTTAAAGACATTCACCCATCCACCCTCATAAAACACATATACACACTTATTGATTTATCGATCTGCTCTCTCTTCTAGACTGGGCCGCTGTCTCACATCCTTCCTTTCATTGTGCCACTTACCTCGACAGAGTCTTCTCCTGTTCTTCAAGGTGTCTTTGAGACGGCCTCTGTTAAGTCAAGCCAAGATCTGGGCAGTGACGTCTTCATTTCTCCCGTAGAATGGGATAGCATGCAAATACGGCCATTGTTTATGGGAGTCTGGTATCTGTACCAAGTCATTTGTCTATTATATGTTAACATAATTGAAAAAAACAAAGATGAAAGGCAGTTAGGCGTTGGGTCGGCTCGGTGAGGTTATTTTAAGTCGTTTCATACAGACAGGCCAAAGAGAGCACACGTTACCTGCAAACCATCTGAAACATTTTAAAGTGATTGACGGAGCGTGTAAAGTTCAGTCCCGTGCTGCAGAGACAAAGCCTGCCAACTCTTCAAACGCGCCGTCCAATTGAGTTTTCACAGTCATTTTCATTTGACATTGAGATGATCTAATCATGAGAACTTTACCGCAGTAAAATAATTGTCATCATTTTGAAAATAACAAGCCATGAGCGATCGTTGGAGTCCGTAAACGCAGCAGGAAACGGCGTAAATCTTTCTTTCCGCACCAAACACTAGCCTACTGTAGAGGATCATTTAGGAAGTGGCGTCTGCTTGGCAACAGGGCCAACTCTCTCACGCTAAAGGATGTGCTGAGAGCCATATCCCGTGTCTTTACTAATCACAGAAAAGCATTTCACGCTCTGTCATTTCCTCTGGTGAAGCTTCTCTCTCTGGACCGGAGTAAATATAACCTGTCTGACAGAAATATACACCGCTATCTCGGCCGCTGGAGAAATCATGACAAGGATAAATCTAGTTGCAGTGAGATGAATAATGCAGTCCAATGCATCAAGTGGCCCATTTTTGAGATCCTGGCCTTGACTAATAATAGTCCAATATAAAAAATATAGATTGATCTGATAGTATGCACCCAAAAAGTTTTTGATTGGTGAATCGTGGAATTATATATATATATATATATATATATATATATATATGTGTGTGTGTGTGTGTGTGTGTGTGTGTGTGTGTGTGTGTGTGTGTGTGGGTGTGTTTATGTTACCTCTTGGGGACATGGAGGTGTTTTTTTACCTTCCATATGGGGACACGATGACCAACTGGGGACAAAATCTGTGTCCCCATAAGGACGCCCATTGGAACTGATAGAAAATAGCATGCTAATATAGCCTGTGCAAATTTCTAAGTTCCTTCCTTGTGACCCCAGAAGGTGGTTTTACCAGTGTTGGAGTGTGAGGGTGTGTATTCGGATTTGCCCCTGGAGCCGGGTCTTGGTACTGCAGTGTGCATATTTAATAAATCTCCGCCTCATATTTACATGTATGGCGGGAAACTAAGAAGACGTGTTCCCCCCTATGGTTCGGTCCTGGTACAGCATTGTGCACAATAAATAAATGCCAGATATTACGTATCAATAAATGCCATATTTGGACACAAGGAAGTTATCTCAAGTTAACTTTTGATGGAAATCAATTATGTATTATAGTAAATTAATAAAGTATGATGAATATAGACGATCCTACGCTTTGTCTATAAAAAATAATATCATTTTCAGACACTTATACTAGCCTAGTAGGATGTTTAGATCTTGTTCTACAAGCAGCCATAAAATATCAAATAGTTTTACCAAAACGTTGAAAAACAAACACCTGCTAAACATAGTCAATTACTAGTACTGAAATCAGAAACCCATGTTGTAATTCATCTTATGTTAGAATCATGTTAGTAGATCGCGTTGATGATAGCTTACTTAGGCTAGCTAACAAGATAGCATAGGCTACGTGATTACCGTAGGTACAGCCTGTCCACGCAATACACACAGCGGCCAATACAAAGTAATGATGAAGCTATGAAACAACGTAGATTATGTAATTATTATCCTACCTTAGACATGTTGTCGGCGAAGATAATGTCCAAACTATCGTTTGATGTCATCATGTCAAATCTATTTACTCTGCAGCATAACTTCACTGACTGACAGCTAGATTTAGCGTGGCAAAAGGTGATGATCCGGTTTCGCGCAGTAGATGAGATATAGTCCAGCGGGCCCGCCATCACTGGCGTTTTGCTCATCGTTATTCTAGAGGACTTCCAGCGTCAGCCGCCGCTTCCCGACGGTGGTCCGCTATCTTGCCGCTGGTTTATAATAAGTGTGTTCTGGCGGACCACGGTCGGTCCACGGTTCTTAATCAGTTACTCATGCTAGCCAAAATTCACTAAAGTTATAGGCTAATGGATAAAAAAGCAATGTACACCAGTCTCAATAGCAGTTGCAAATTTATTTTTATTAAATTAATTTTCAGTGAACAGATGAAATGGATATATTGCATTACATTTATCAGATTATTTTATCCAATGTGACTATTAGTCGAGTACATTATAGGATAAGTTGGATCCTTTTGAAAATTAACCATGGTTTTACCACAGCATTTGCAGTAAAACCATAGTTGCTAACAAAATGAACCATGGTTTCACAACAACCAAGGTTTAAAAACATACGTTTATAGTCATGATTACCATAATTTTACAGCAATTATTACAGCAATATTAGCCTACTAGTTGAACCATGGTTTGAAAACTAAAATAAATAAATAAATAACATGGTTGGTAGTTGTACCATAGTAAAACCACATAGTGCTTTTCACAATACAAATTGTTTCATAACAGCTTTACAAAAAAATGCATGTTCAAGGTTATATACAATTGCAAAATATCCTTTAATCAGCCAGAAGCGACTGCTACTCACTGGGAGAGCATTTTGGCAACAAAGTAATGTCTATAAGATAATACAAGTCATGAGTTTAAAGTCCTAATTGCTATCCTTCATCATTTTTAAAGGGTTGCAGATTTTCAACCTGCTATTCTTACAATGTTGGTAATATGTTAGAACAATGTTTACTCTTTCTCCTAGTTAGGTATACTAAGATATTCCTGTTTATTTGTCAGCAAAACTGTCATGCAAACGTTCCCTTCCCTTCCCTGGTTCCACAGAAAAGGCTTAAGATAGTCCCAGACTAAAATGCATTTTTGAACTGTCTTAACTGGAAGCAACTTGCACAGACATATCTTAAAATATTTCAATGTCACTGGTTTGTCTCAAGAGATGCACACCAGTAATGTTTTTTTTTCCTTCTTTTTTTTTCTGAAGTACATTTTAAAAAGCTACTTAAATATCCTAATTTAACGAAGGCCTAAACCTGGTTTAATCTAAACCCTGTGTGTGAAACCGGGCCAATGCAATATCTGGCAGTTTTGTGTCCATCTATAGTTGCCACCATCTGAAGTCTTTGTGAGTGTTGGTGTCATCTGAAGTCTTCACGAGTGAGGCTGGATCCACACGGAGCTGCTGTAATCTCTAGTGAACTTGCTGAGCATCCTGAGATAGAAACAGGGAAGCAACAGGAGAAAGATTAGCATAGCAGCAGTCATATTATTTCAGGCAAAAGGTGATCATGTGCACTTTTTATTTCATCACATATAACTGAAGTGCAAGATTATGAGATGTGTAAATTGAATGCTTGGCTACAGAGATGTGTCTTTAATCTAGATTTAAATTAGAATCATGTTTCTGGGCCCCAAACATATCAGGAAGATTATTCTAGAGTTATTCCCTTACATTCTATTCAATTAATTGGAAATCTTAATGAGAAAACATGACCTAACGAGTCAGCATTTTTATATTTGAATACTATACCTTCTCACAATGCAAACGTCCTAAACATTTCTGAGTATGTTGAAAACAGTTGTGCTGATTGCTATTTTTGTGTAAACCAGTGTAACAGTTTAATCCACTTTCTTTTTCTCTCTCTCCAGGATTAATTGTTAATTAGACCCGACATATATAAATGGTGGTTTACACTACTGTTCAAAAGTTTGGGTTCAATAGAATTATTGTTTTTATTAGAATAGAAAATAAATATTTTTTTCCCTTTCTATTCATCAAATAATCCTGAAAAACACAAAAATGTGAAGCAGCACAACTAATTTCAAAACTGATAATAATCATAAACGTTTCATCAAATCATCATATTAGAATGATTTCTGAAAGATAATGTGATGCTTCTCCATAGAAAACAGTTATTTAAATGGTTTAATATTATTTCACAATATTATTGTTTTTACTGTATTTTTAATTAAATAAATGCAGTCTTTGTGAGAATGAGAGACTACTTTCAAAACACATCTTTTTTTTCTTTTTTTTTACCAACAACATTAGAGTATGTTTGAGGTTTTAGTTTAGTTCCTTTATTGTCCTCAAGTGGAAATTTGTCTTTGGCTTGATTTTACTTACTAATCATAATGGTGATAGCGCCTTAGAGATGATGATCAGCTCAACTCTGCTACGGTGCAGGGCATCTGCATGGAAGGATCTAGGAACACAACAAACCATTTGTCACAGAGCCAACATTATTATACAGTGACAGGATTATTAAAAGGACAGAAGCTACAGCAGAAGTAAAATGCAGAAAAGAGAGAGAACAGACAATGATTTCTTAATTAGGATAACAAAATGTATGTTTTTACTAGGTTTACTTTTTCATTCTGTTGTGTTCAAACCCCTATAAAACTTGTGGTGTTCCCGGTCAAAAATAACTGGTCTCCAAAAATAGCTTATAAATCACTTATCTCCCAATTCTGGATTCAATCTTTTTGTCAATATAAAAAACAGTGGTAACTGAAAGACAACAGTCTTTCAGTTACCACTGTTTTTTATATTTCTTTTTCTATTTGCATCTGATTAATCGTGGGCAGAGAGTAGGCATTTATTAATAATTTTGGAAATATTAAGTAAAATATGAACATGTTCATTATGTTCATGTACACATGTGCTTGCAAACATCGAGCCCTTGGACCTGAGCATGTGTGGATACATGCATACACAGTACACACGCTACTCAAAGACACACATTAAGACACAGAAACTATTTTGAGTATTACACACATTCTTTTTCACAGAAACTTGATCCTGAACTGCATCTAATATTCATTTATCCATCTGACATTGATACACACAAAACAAAGCAAATTTCCTTTTGAAACATTAAAGTAGACTAGTATGATCAACAGTGCAATGTTTTTCATATTTTATTTCCAAATTTTATTCATATGCCTACTCTGTTAAATGAGGCCAACGATTAATCAGATGGAAATAGAAATATAAAACCAGTCCTAATTGAAAGAGACCAAGTTGACAAAAATACTAATGAGATAACATTAACTAGTATTTTCGAGAAAAATCAAATCTTCTGTTATTTAATGAGCTTCCTCACCTCTGTCTGTGTTTTCCACTTCTCTGGCAGCATCTTTCTTCAGAAATGTTGACATTTTTGAGCTTTCCTCTGTTGAAGAGGGATTATTTGTGTTGCTGCTGAAATCACAGAACAGTTTTTATCAATATTTGTTAACCGTTGAGCTAGTTTCAGCAATTTTTAAGCACGCCATGTAAGTGACGTCAACGATTAACAGTACTTTAAATAAATTAGCTTACGTCCAAGCTATAAATTAGCTTAGGCTGTGTCCAAAATCTTTACAAAACTATCAAAATCTCTCATCTACACATAAAATGTGATTAAAGGCCCAAACCTTCATAAACAAAAGCTCAAGCTATAAAGTTAGCCTAAGTTACCTCTTCTGAAAACGGTTGAGATGCTAACAGACTTTTTCAAAGACACTTAACCATTTCTATAAAGCAAATATTCAACAGAAGCAAGTCGATTACAAGTAAGATACAGTAAGTGTCAAGAACAGTGTGATTTTAGAGGCTAAACTCACCTGAAAGCAGTGAAAACAACAGCGAGAGACGGAGTTTTGCTGACAGTTGCAGTAGTGCGGTCGCGCCCCGCGCCGTTTCCATGGCAACTCATCTCCGCTCCAGGGTTTGAAGGCAGCTCGAGTGTTCACGCGCACGCAAATTAAAACGCGTCACAGTCCCACAGAATTTACAAACATAAACATTTAGAATAAGAACCTTACTTGAATAAAAATCTGTTTATAAAATGATTAATTTAAAACTCATTTTGAAGTTCTATGACCCATTCATAGGTGCAATTACCACTACTTCACGTGACGTGATAGTGGGACAATTGTGGCTTTTTAAAAAAATAATTTAAATATTTTTGTTGTTGTTTTTACAAACACTCAAGCCCCATATTTAATTTGAACGCATGCTAAAAATGCTCATGGGCAGCCAACATTTATGATATTGCTGCAGCTATTAGGTCAGGTCAGTTTCACCAATTTTTTTTTTTATTTTATTCTGTGCTTTCAGATTCTTTTTTTTTTTCCAGATAAACAATCAAGTGCTAATTAATTAATCTGCACTTATCTAAAAACAACATCTATATAGGAGTCTGTATTTTTAATCATAGGTACTCTTAAACTCTGAGTGACGGAATCTAAAACAAAAATCCAGAAAATCACATTGTACATACATACATCTTCTTCCGCTCATCCGGGGCCGGGTCACGGGGGCAGCAGTCTAAGCAAAAATGCCCAGACTTCCCTCTCCCTAGACACTTCCTCCAGCTCTTCTGGGGGGATACCGAGGCGTTCCCAGGCCAGCCGGGAGACATAGTCTCTCCAGCGTGTCCTGTCTTCCCCGGGGCCTCCGCCCAGTGGGACGTGCCCGGAACACCTCCCCAGGGAGGCGTCCAGGAGGCATCCGGAACAGATGCCCGAGCCACCTCAGCTGACCCCTCTCGATGTGGAGGAGCAGCGGCTCTAGTCTGAGCTCCTCCCGAGTGACCGAGCTTCTCACCCTATCTCTAAGGGATCGCCCAGCCACCCTGCGGAGAAAGCTCATTTCAGCCGCCTGTATCCGGGATCTTGTCCTTTCGGTCATGACCCAAAGCTCATGACCATAGGTGAGAGTAGGAACGTAGATTGACTGGTAAATCGAGAGCTTTGCCTTACGGCTCAGCTCCTTCTTCACCACAACAGACCGGTACATCGACCGCATTACTGCAGAAGCTGCACCAATCCGTCTGTCAATCTCCCGTTCCATCCTTCCCTCACTCGTGAACAAAACCCCAAGATACTTAAACTCCTCCACTTGAGGAAGGATCTCTCCACCAACCTGAAGTGGGCAAGCCACCCTTTTCTGGCTGAGGACCATGGCTGAGGATTTGGAGGTGCTTATTTTCATCCCAGCCGCTTCACACTCGGCTGCAAACCGTCCCAGTGCATGCTGAAGGTCCTGGTATGAAGGGGCCAACACGACAAGATCATCCGCGAAGAGTGACAAAATCACATTGTATGATTTAAAAAACAAAATCATTTTGCAGTTCATTGCATGAGATAAGTATTTGATACATCAGAAAAGCCTAACTTAATTTTTGGTGCAGAAACGTTTGTTTGCAATTAAAGACAACATACATTTCCTGTAGTTCTTGACCTGGGGCATGTTCAAGTTTCAAACGGTTTTGCTATGGTTTCGAACGTCATGTTTCCTGGAAACGGTGTGCACCGACGTGCAACAGGGTTTGAGATATGTTTTCTCTTGTTTGGTGGTGGGTGTGTCAGAACTGCAGTCCAATCAGCAGCAGCATGTTTATAAAGCACGCGGTATTAAATTGAACTCGCACAATGGGTTTAAGGAAAGTAATTGACCTTTCGCCGGCCCCTCCCCCAAAACGGCCATTGTCCAATCACACATCATACCATGGTCATGGGGTTTTTCCTACCCTATCTCACGACCAATTCGTACGAATTCGTACGAGTGATTAAAAATTGGCTAATTCGTACTAATTCGTACGACCTCACTCGTGCGAATTCATACGATTTGTCTAAACCCACGTGCTTTTCCTAAAAATGAGAAAGAAAATAGGGTATTAAAACAGTATGAAATACAAATAAAGTTAGTGTGTGAGGCTAAATATTGTGTCATGTTGATAAAAGAAACAATCACGTTAGTAAAAAAAAAACCCTGCCTGACAATTCAAGTGTGAGGCAAGGGTTTTAAAAGGCAATTGTAGGACAGAACACATTCGATTAAAGATAATATGAAAGTTAATTTAAATTAATAACTGGAAAAAAATATAGTTTTGCTTTAGATTTGGCACCAGATGAAGTATCATATGGGATTGTTTGCTGTCATTTGTTGCAACTCAGTATTGCAACTCCCAAACATTGTCAACATGGCACTTTTAAAATAAGTGTTACTCTCAGTTATCTACAGTGGGAAGAAAAAGCATTTGATACACTGGGGATTGTGCAGGTTCCCACTTACAAACCATGTAAGAGCCTATCATTTTTATCATGAATATACTCTTTTACTCAGAGTGAAAGAATCGAAAACAAAAATCCAGAAAATCACATTGTATATTAAAAAAATATAATTTTTTTGCAGTTTATTGTTTATGACATCATTTGATCACCTACAAACCAGTAAGAATTCAGCTCTCACAGACCTGTTAGTCTTCTTACTTTAGGAAGCCCTCCTTTTCTCCACTTTTTATTAACTGCACCAAATCAAACTTTCACAAATCTAAAGCAAAACTATATTTTTTTCCAGTTATTAATTTAAATTAACTTTCATATTATCTTTAATCGAATGTGTTCTGTCCTACAATTCCCTTTTAAAACCCTTGCCTCACACTTGAATTGTCAGGCAGGAGGTTTTTTTTACTAACGTGATTGTTTCTTTTATCAACATGACACAATATTTGGTCTTTTTTATAATACAGAGCTTAACTAGAGACCTACATTTCAGTTGGAAGGAGGGTACATAAATTAACCGATATCAAGAGCGTATGTTGATTGTTGTGAGTTTTTCCATCTTATACACACACACACTCGAGACGGCGTATGTCCTGGTTAAGACTATCTGAGTCCCCACATAGTCAATGTGTGCACCTCCCCCACACCTACACTCGCTTTCTCTCTTCTGATGATTACATCCAATGATTGCATCTCGTGACACACTGGACGAGCAGGTGCTGCATCATCAAACGTGTTCATCTTCAAGGTAAGCTAAACACTTTATTTATATTTTCATGTGAATACAAATGCCACAACCATATATTATGGAGAAGGTTATTAACAAAAGCAGGCCTTGCTAGCGATAATTTTAACTTTGGCAGTTTTCTGTTCAGTCGGGTTAAGTCAGTATCATGTTAGCTAGTTTGCTATCGCGCCTTACATGTGCAATCTAAATGTAGACTATTTAGCTAACTACCTCTACCAAGCTAACCAACTTATTAGCACGACTGAAACTTAAGTTAATGCATGTCATAAATCCTATTTTTTTGCGTGTGTTGTAATTTAATCACAATGTGATTGATAATCGATAAATGTGTGTTTTATATTATATGCACACTACAGTAA